AAGAACAAGAGTACTAGCACTGTATGGTGTCTGCACCAGGAGCAGAGGACACGTCAGCCATGCAACACTGGCCAGGCACCGCATGGTTCCAGAAACGTAAGCAACAGCAGAGCCTTGTACAACTGCTCAGATACCCTCTACCTGGATAAGCAAATCTGTTATAATCTCAGGAGAGGACTAGGATTAATGGGATTTTTAGGTCTAAAATATGTTGGATACCAGCTTTTTTCCCCATTATTTATTTATTTATTTATTATTTTGATTTCCAACTTCTACGTTCAGGGGTACACATGCAGGGTGAGCAGGTTTGTACGATCCCTGCTTTCATAATGAGACTGAGGATGATTATGTGAGTAAACTGCATGGTTTTACCCCAGAAGAATACTACTTTTCGTGATTTGGAGCATAATGTATATACCAGCCAAACTAATCTTAAAAATTTAAGCAGTAGCTGGGTGTGATGACACATGTCTACAGTCCCAGCTATTCAGGAGACTGAGGCAGGTGGATCACTTGAGCCCAGGAGTTTGAGACCAACCTGGGCGACAGAGCAAGATCCTGTCTCTAAAAATGAAAATTAAATAAATAAAATTTAAGTGGTGAATAAGAGGAGCTGAGTTACAAATTATGGCACACTATTTTTCAGCAACACATGAAAGCCCCGATCTTAATCCAAGTTACACCTTTGTATTTGGAGTAAAGAAAACCAAGGTGGCAACATGTGCAGTTCCACTCTGCACGAAGAGCTTTTAACAATGTGGAGAAGTTTGTTTCCTGGATTCACTTCCATTGTTCTCAAGAAATGAAGAGAGGCCCGGCGCGGAGGCTCGTGCCTGTAATCCCAGCACTTTGGGAAGCCAAGGCGGGCAGATCACTTGAGGCCAGGAGTTTGAGACCAGCCTGGCCAATATGGTGAAACCCTGTCTCTATTGAAAATACAAAAATTTGCCGGGCGTGGTGGTACACGCTTGTAATCCCAACTACTTGGGAGGCTGAGGTGGGAGGATCACTTGAACCAGGTAGGCGGAGGTTGCCAAGATAGCTCCACTGCATTCCAGCCTGGGCAAAAGAGCAAGGCTCCGTCTCCAAGAAAGAAATGAAAAGAAAGGGTGGGGAACGGGGGCAGAGAGCATGAAAGCACATGTATTATAGGAAAAGCCGAAGAAGAAGAAGAAAAAATAATACAACAAAATAGTAAGACCTTCCCTCTGTAGAAGGATTATGAGTGTTTATCTTTTTCTTCTTTGTGCTTTTTTCACATTTCCTAATCTTCTACAATGAACATGTAAACAAGAAAATTGAGAGAGAGAGATCAAAGGGATTTGAAAAGTCGAATGGAGACAACTCCAGGGAAACAACACAACTACTGTCACTTAAAAGCAAATCTTTGCGGCTGCCTCAGGTAGGGCCTCTGTTCATTTTCCTGTTTCTTCAAGGCCACAGTCCATCCCTTGTCCAGTATTTATTAAATGTTTGCCAAATGCTGGACCCTGAATGGAGATGTGAAAGGTGGGCTGTTGGCTTCAACAAACTTGCGGTCAAGGAATATTCAAAAGAAATACAATACCTAGAGTGCTATTAACTGCTAAACTAGGTACTTTTGATGATGGCTGTAAATCAGAGCTTACAGAGAACAGAAGCTAGAGGTGCTATGAAGACTTCACTGAGCCAGGAAACCAGGTGACCCCCAAAGGAGGTGGGGAGTTGGATAAATGCTTACGGTTCTTCACAAAAAGACCATGGCTAGGCTGAAGTATCTCAACAGTTTCTTTTGGTAGGTAGTAAAGTTCTGCTTAAAGACAATTAAATAGTGGTGTGACCTTTAACCTTGGATCACTGTCATTTTAAATGGTGCACACTGCTATGGTGTTCTTTTTCTCATAAGTCAGCACAAAACACCCACCTGGGGTGAAGCACAGAAGGATGGTGACCAACTCTTCCTTAAATTATCGCAATGCCCTATTTTCGAACTGATTTTTTTTTTACTTTTTATTAAATTATAACATGCATACATCAAAGTGCCTAATACATAAGGTAGTCTCTAAAAAATTCAATAAATAAAATTTAAGCAGTAATAAGAGGAGCTGAGTTACAAATCACAGTATATACTATTCATGGTATACTAAATCATAAGCTCTATCAATTTTCACAAACTGAGTATACCCAGTATAATCAGCACTGAGATCAAGAAACAGAATAGCACAGAACCCCAGAAGACCTCCTTGTGCCACCTTTCAACTATCACCTTCTAAGAGTTACCACCATTCTAACACCTACATTGCTTTGCCTTTTTTTTTTTTTTTTTTTTTTTTTTGAGACGGAGTTTTGCTCTTGTTACTCAGGCTGGAGTGCAGAGGCACGATCTCGGCTCACTGCAACCTCCGCCTCCTGGGTTCAAGCGATTCTCCTGCCTCAGCCTCCCGAGTAGCTGGGATTACAGGCATGCGCCACCATGCCCGGCTAATTTTGTATTTTTAGTAGAGACGGGGTTGGTCATATTGGTCCATGTTGGTCAGGCTGGTCTAGAACTCCCAACCTTAGGTCATCTGCCCGCCTTGGCCTCCCAAAGTGCTGGGATTACAGGCGTGAGCCACCGCGCCTGGCCACATTGCTTTGTCTTCTATATTTTATATAGATGGAATCATGCAGTATGTACTCTTTGCTATCTGGTTTCTTTCACTCAACCTTATATGCATACAGTGGCAGTCTGTTCATTTTCAGTAATGAATAATATTCCATGATGTGAACATACCACCATTTATTTATCTGATGTTGGGTATGTATATAGTTTCTAGTTAGGGCCGTTATAATGAGTGTTGCTGTGACTGTTTCAGTGCATGTCTCTCCATGAGCATACGGATGCATCTGAGGTACTTACCTGGGAGTAGAACTGCTGCGTTGCAGGGTATATATATGTTCACCTTTGAAGATACTGCAAGTAGGTATAACAGCTTATCTGAGAACTGAGGGCCCAGTTCTGCTTTTGCCTGCTTTTAGTCCTAATGATGGGGTTCTATACCATATCTGCACCAAATCTGATCTTCTATCACCCAGACGGAAAGACCCCCAAACCATTCTATTGCATCTACCTTAAAAATATTATCTTCACAGATATTGTCGATTTTTTTTCCCCCTAAAGAAGAGGCTGTTAACCAGGAAGGGTAGAATAAATTATACTGTAGTTCAAGGCAAATTCTATTATAAAGGACAAGCTGCCTAGCAAAACACAACTTATAATTACATTTAACTTCAAAATAAATCAAATTATTCATACAAACCCAAGCACTCACTGGTAAATTAATGAAAAACATGACAGTATTGAGCTTTTAATTGCTTCTATACAAACCCCCAAACTTAAATTTAGGTTATTAAGGCCGAAAAGAGGCAATTAATTTGCAACAAATGCATCTGTAAAAACCTGTTACAACATGGCCGCAGAATATATCTTCTCCAAGTTTATAAAGACCATCTGCCCAATTTTTTGCAGGTTTTCCTTTAGATAATCCTATTTAGACAGTCCCTCCAAACTAATTGCTTTTTTGCTTTTTGAGGGGAGAGGGAGATTAGTATCTTTTTTCAATATCTCCAGTATATAAGCTTCATAAGAGCTCTGTTATCTCAAATTCTGAGTTTAATTTCCTTTCCAGAACATATTTGTCAGAATATTAAACCTCAAATAAAAAGATTAGTGAGTAGTAGTAGGGCTTAAATAAATTAAGGCTTGTAGGCTATGTTGCTACTTTCTGTTTCCAAAAGATAATCTTTTTCCTGTTATTAAACATCATTTGTGACCTTTAAAAATAACTCCCTGAACTCATTAATTAATAATAAAATCTGGCTGGGCATGATGGCTCACACCTGTAATCCCAGCACTTTGGGAGGCCAAGGCGGGCAGATAGATTGAGCACAGGAGTTGAGACCAGCCTGGGCAACATAGTGAGTCCCTGTCTCTACAAAAATAATTCAAAAAATGAGCCAGGCATGGTGGTGCATGCCTGTAGTCCCGGCGACTCGGGAGGCTGAGGTGGGAGAATCACCTGAGCCTGGGGATGTTGAGGCTGCAGTGAGCCAACGTTGCACCGCTGCACTCCAGTCAGGGTAACAAAGCGAGACCCTGTCTCAAAATAATAATAATAATGATAATAGAATCTGGCTAGACTATCACATTAGTGAAATGATATAAAATGACATAAAATCATGCCAATTTTCAATTTTAAGACCTGATAATGCCTATTACACATTTTCAAAATTACTAAATCGATTTGAAATGGTACAAACTACAATCAAATATATTTTACTTGGCACCATCAATTTAAGAAACTGCAGATCAGCACAATAAGGACAGTGAAATGAGAAGCAAAATAATTGCAGAAAAAGAATAATTCCTCCAATATTACTATATTCCCTATGGTGACAGAAGGAAAAGGAAATTTGTTCTTCTTGGTACAAGACCTACTTCCACATAAGTGGAAAGGGTGGCTGCTCTAACGATGGGGGAATGGGGTCCTCAAGAAACAACTCCTCCCAGCAGTAGGAAATTGTTTGAGGGGCATGGAAAGGAACGTCATAGGCCCTTCCATGGCACCTAGAGTCCCCACTCTACAGGCCTCTAAGGTTACGATACGTTATAACGTATTATGACCAACATATTTATTCATTCAACAAACAGCTATGAACGACCTATTATGTACTATACACTGTTCTAAGTTCTGGAGACTCTGTCATGACTAACACAGATATGGCCCCTGCCCTTATGGAGTTAAAGATCTAGAAGAGGAGGTAGAACCCAGGATAAATAATTATAGAGATAAATTCTAGTAAGTGACACAAAGGGTGTCCCCAGAGGAGACAACAGTGACTAAATCCAGATGTATGTTGGGGGAGGCATGTCAGGGAGTGACTTGGTTACACCACCTTTAACCAAGTAAATGATATTCATCGTATCCTTGCATCAGTCATTTCAATGCAACTAATTTTTTCGGCACTTGTTTTTATTTCAGCTACTTGGAGGTACCACAAAGGAATGCAGAGATGACCATGGTGTAGTTTCTGCCCACAAAGAGTGAATGCTCTGGTCTATAGAGGAAGCAGTCCACGAATAACCGCAAGACCACGGCATGAAGTGCGCCCTAGTGAAGTACGCACTGTAATGAAGTATGTGTCAAATCAGCCGTAAGGGAAGCTAACTGGAGGCAAGGAAAATCTGCAGAGAGCAAGGGGATTCGGGCTGGATCCTAGGACTCTGTAGCATTTCTCCAGGCCTAGGAGGGAAGGGCACTCCTGGGAAAGGGAAGAGGCGTGAAAAGTCGAAAAGAAGTGCAAAGGTCATTGTGTATTTGGTGAGCAGGCTGCAGACTGGCAGAATGGCAGGGGAGGAGGGTGTGGGGACAGAGATGGGGGGCCTGCGGGTGAAGGCAGGTGGGCCAGACTGCAGGCGGCCATGACTCCAGGCTGAGTGGCGGCTGCAGACCAGGGGTGCCATAGGGAACTGTGCAGCGCTCTTTCACTTGACCTCCGGTCTACATCCGCTCTCCCGGTCTCCACCCTGCTCTGCCCTTGGGAGGCGGACTACGTGGACTACGCTGATGGCTGCCCTTTCCCTCTGGCTTCAGGTTGGGAGCCAAGAGGAAGCCTGGCAGGAGGTGGAAGGAGAGAGGAAGGCAAGGTTGGACTATTTATGTCCCTGGCTCCCTTCCTGGGCTGGCGGCATCCCTCCAGCAGGCCCACAATTCCCGTCAGGCAGCCCCTCCACACAGCTGCTGGCAGCACACGCTCTCATGGTGGCGGGCTCCAGGCTCTGTGCTTTCCCTGTGGGTGCCCACACCCGCTCACGCCTTCGTACAGAAGCTCTTCATTGAGCTGTCTTCGCTTTACCTGGTTGGACTGTTTTATCTCTTCTCTACCAGGACTTGAGCTGATACAGTCAGGCAGCAAGGAAATGGGGTGGGAGTGGGGACTACTGAAGGCATTAGGGGCAAATGCAGAGAGGGAGGGTGTGGGAGAAGGAGGGGACTGGGGGATGGTAGGTGGTGATGTGGTGAAACCGGGGATATGAGGGAGGGGCGATGACGGACTAGACACAGACCACAGCACTTATGTGAAACCTACGTGTGTCAGGCACTCTTCCCCAGGCTTTCACAGAACTCATTTAACCCATACAGATTCTGTATGAGACATCCTATTTAACAGATGAGAAAACTGAGGCACAGAGAGGCCAAGTGACTTGGTCAACATCCCAAACTAGTAAGTGATGAAGCTCAGATTGAAACCGAGGCGAGTCCGGTACCAGAGTCATATTCTCAACTACTGCACTGAACTGACTACTCTGATTGAGGTCAAGGAGGAGGAGGACTTCAGAGCTGGGGATGTTGGGGGCGACAAGGGACTGTGATGGCAACTCCCAGGAAAGCCATCTGTGTGGACCGTCAAAAGAAAGCCACCTGGAGAAGATCTTGCTATCCTATACAAACTGCCCCAAGGACAATGCATAATCTTTTTCTTTTTTTTGACAGTGCGTAATTTTGTACAGGTATCAGAAGGCAGTAATCCTCAACAATTTGGATCCTTGTGTTCAAATACATTACAATTAGCTCTGCTATAATAACTATGTTCCTAAGAACCTCACATTTATTTAACAAATCATATAAATAGCTATTTCAATATGGGAAAAGGAGGGCTGTGGTTACAGAGTTGATAAAACTAGATAATTTTTTCCTACAGGAGCTTCAACAACAAACAACTTAATTATATTTGTTACCATCTGCAAATAATAAACGGCTTGATCAGACCAACAAAAGAGAACTAAAAGCAAAACCTGAACAGCACAGAAAAACAACCTGCAGTCACATTCACACCCACTGATGGTAGAGAACAGTGCTTGACGCCAGCTGGCCTCCCACCACTCATACAGTACCTCAGTGTGGCCCTGCACCCATGCGCAGCCCTTCCTTCCTGTGGGCCCAGGGACTCTCTGATGGCACTCACATCCCCACCCTGATTGGTCCAGAAAATCCAAGCCCCACTCCTCATGTAGTCAGTTGCATAATACTCAGTTCTGAGAATGAAAACTTACACTGTCAGGAAAATATTGATCCATATCGGTTAAGGTCTCTTGCAGCAGATAAGATCATAAAGACAACCATGCTCTGGAAAATAAGGAGTGGTTTATACATGTAACCACAGCACAGCACACCCTGTTACTCTTTTCTTTTAGAGACAGGGTCTTGTTCTGTCACCCAGGCAGGAGCGCAATGGCACAGTCATAGCTCACTACAGCCTTGATCTTCTGGGCTTAAGCCCAGCCTCCCGCCTTGGCCTCCCAAAGCATTGGGTTTACAGGCATGAGCCACCGTGCCGGCCTTGTTATTTTAAGTAGGATATCACCATCTTAACTCAGGTTGTCTTACAGCCACATGCCAGCATGCCTATTAATGTCAGAAACTTCCACAGCAATTGCTTTCCTCTCTTTATGGAAAAAGACAGGAAGGGAAAATGCTCCCTAGTCAGACCTATGTATTTTTCATTTGCACTGCAGGCTGTTAAATGTGCTAGCTTAACCAAGACTGTAATGAGGACTCCATTAACCAGCTCTTAGAAACGTGGTCAGTTAGGAGCCTGCAGCTACCCAGTGGGCGTTCAATAACAGCTACCTACTGTATTGACTGGCCTCGACCTGATTCTGCTGTTTCTAAATAACCTCATGCTGGGTCCCACATATGTAAAGACAGGATGAGACAGAATGGTCCATTTCTGCAGCTGTTCACTCCACGGTAAAGGCAGGTTGCCACGATTGTATGTATGCTCATTTTTTACGTGCAAGAGGCAGTCGGCTGACGACACTTGTTAATCAATGATGTTCCATACCTTCAAAGTCATAGGAGCCAACAAAGGCTGACCCTATTTTGAATTATTGATTCTTTCAGGTTCCAACTGCTAATAAAGGAGTACACCTTCTCTTTGGGGTATAACAGGAGGGATTCAGTAAAGCAGTTTGGAAAGGACATGGTTTAGCTAAGCTACCCTGTGGTTTTGAAAAGGAAGCTTCTAGTGACCATAGCAGTCAAAGTACGTACAGAAGTCACAAGAATTCATCCACAACTTTAGATCTGAAAAACAATCTAAATGTTAGGATTTGGAAAAAGCAGTATGAATTTTAGGACCTTTGAATAAAACTGGGAAGACACAAACTTCAATCCACATTGTAGAAAATTGGTTATTTTATCATAAAATTGTTCCTTGGGTACATTTTTTTTCCTTAAAAATGCAACCTTCATCACCTAAAGTTGAGGTTGGGAACCAGCTTTGTCTCAAAAAACAAACAAACAAACAACAACAAAAAAAAACATAGCTCTTCAATGATCATAGAAGAGAAATAATAGTTAATTATTCATCATTTTGCACAAATTTCCTGAGCAGCTACTGTGTGCCAGGTTTATTCTAGATGCTGGAGATACAGGAGTGAACGAGAGAGACAAGCTACTTGCTCTGTGGAGCTTATATTCCAGTGGTGAAACAGACAATAAACAAATAAATAAGGAATTTAACCACAGGCAGTGATAAATGCCATAATGAAAGATAAAATAGAGGAAGGGGATAGAGAGCGAGATGAATGGAGACCCAGGTTGGATGGGGAGGGCAAGAAGCTTTCTTGGAAGTCACATCTGAGCAGAGATCTGAAAGAAGCGAGGGAACAGGTCATGTTGTAGTGGAAGAACATTCCAGACTAAGGGACCAACAAGTGCAAAAATCCCGGAGGTGGGAGTAAGCTTGTATGTGAGGGCCAGAAGGAAGGCCAGTGTGGCTGGGAAGAGGTGGGAGGAGCGGTCATAGCTAGGCAGGGAGGAGCCAGATCCCGTGGGACCCAGAGAGCTGATGGAGCAGCTTTGATTATGTCCTAAGTGCACTGAAAGATTTTAAGCAGGTGGAAGTGACATTCTGGTGCTGCTGCTGGAAAGGAGACCAAGGAGGGCAAGCATGGGACTGGAGCCCAGGTACAAGGCTACTGCAGGAGTTGCGGAAGATGGTGGCTGGGGTTTGGGTGGAGTGGAGGAGGTGGTGAGACATTACTCTATTTGGAACACATTCTGGAGGTGGCCTATGGGGACAGATGCAGGCGGTGGAGCAAGCTTGCCCATGTAGCCCAGGATGGCTTTGAATGCAGCCCAACACAAATGTGTAAACTTTCTTAGAACATTATGAGATTTTTGGCTGGGCACGGTGGCTCTTGCCCGTAATCCCAACAGTTTGGGAGGCTGAGTTGGGCAGATCACTTGAGGACAGGAGTTCGAGACCAGCCTGGCCAACATGGTGAAACCCTGTCTCTACTAAAAATACAAAAATTAACTGGGTGTGGTGGTGGGCGCCTGTAATCCCAGCTACTAGGGAGGATGAGGCAGAAGAATCGCTTGAACCCGGGAAGCAGAGGTTGCAGTGAGTCAAGATCTGGCCACTGCACTCCAGCCTGAGTGGCAGAGTGAGACTCTATCTCAAAAAAATAATCATCATCATCATCATCATCATCATCGAGATTTTTTTGTGATTTTTTCTTTTTTTTTTTTTTTTTTTTTTAGCTTACCAGCTGTCATCAGTGTTAGTGTATTCTATGTGTGGCCCAAGACAATTCTTCTTCCAATGTGGCCCATGGAAGCCAAAAGGACTGGACACCTCTGTGGTAGAGCGATGAGAAAGTTGTTTCGATTTCCACAGTAAAATAAGAAGCAGGAAGCCGGGTTATGAGCTCATAGGCTCAGGCTCTATGAGTTTAGAAAAGACAGAAACAACTGGCTCCTTCTAGTCCCAGACAACAATGAACCCAGACTGGACGAGTGGGGGCGCTGGAGTCCACCGGCAGCCCAGCTCCCAGCGTGAGGCCTGCCACGCCCATTTTTACAGAGAGTTGGGAGAAACTCTAGTTGGGAGAAACCTAGCACCAGAAGGACGCAAAACAAGGCAAATCTCCCAAGAATCAGGACCAGGCAGAAAAATCTACTTACCTTTCCACAACACTTAAAAAACGAAAAATCCTTAATCCCTTTGCTCTCAATTTACCGAGTAAACGCTTCCTACTCAATGAAAAAAATACTAATGTCCCAAAAGGAAAAATAGGCTAAGCATATTTACAGAGAACTCACAGGTAAAGAAATGTGAATAGCCAATACATATTAAAAAAAGTACTGCAGCTGGGCATGGTGGCTCATACGTGTAATCCCAGCACTTTGGGAGGTTGCGGTGGGAGGATCACTTGAGCCTAGAAGTTCGAGACCAGCCTGGACAACATAGTGATGGCTTCGTCTTACAAAAAAATACAAAAACTAGGCCGTGTGGTTGTGCGTGCCTGTAGTCCAGCTACTTGGATGGCTGGAATCACTTGAGCCTGAGAGACAGAGGTTGCAGGTGAGCCGAGATGCATGCCACTGCACTCCAGCCTGGGCAACACACGTGAGACTCTGTCTAAAAAAAAAAAAAAAAAAAAAAAGTGCAGCTTTCCAGAGAACAAGTGAATGGCGGTTGCCAGGCTGGGAATGGAGAATTATGTATTTATAGTGGGGTCAGTTAAGGTGAATAAGGTGCAAAATTCTGGAGATGGATTATGGTGATGGCTACACAACAACATGAACGTACTTAACACCACTGAACTGTATAGGTAAAATGGTTAATATAGTCAATTTTATGCAATGTATATTTTACCACAGACTTTTTAAATATTGCATTTCATTGGCAAAGAAATGCAAATTAAAACATCTGAGGCTGGTTCAAAGATAATGACTTATCTCAACTGATTGTTCATAGCTACAGATCGAACTCCTTGTTCGACGCTTTCCTTCTTTCTCACTACTGCACTTGATTAGTCTAAAAAAAGTATAAAAGAAAATTTTAAAAATAAAAAAATAAAATGAGATGACACTTTATTCATACTGTATCCTCAATGAGGGCACACAGTGGACATCCATATCTGTGGAATGAGTGCATGTTACTCAGGGTGTGGGGAGATGAGCCCCCGCCCAGCCCGCTGAGTGGAGGCTAAGCCGGTGTCATCTTCCCAGAACCACAAGACTCAAATACTTTGACTCTATAATTTATCTGTCAAGGGTCTATGTTAGGGTGGGTACGGTGGCTCATTCCTGTAATCCCAGCACTTTGGGAGGCTGAGGTGGGTGGATCACCTGAGGTCAGGAGTTTGAGACCAGCCTGGCCAACATGGTGAAACCCTGTCTCTACTAAAAATACAAAAATTAGCCAGGTGTGGTGGCGGGCGCCTGTAATCCCAGCTACTAGGAAGGCTGAGGCAGGAGAATCGCTTGAACCTGGGAGGCAGAGTTTACAGTGAGCTGAGGTCGCGCCATTGCATTCCAGCCTGGGTGACAACAGCAAAACTCCATCTCAAAAAAAAAAAAAAAAAGGAAAAAAGTCTGTACTAGACCAGGCACTATGACTCATGCCTTTGGGAAGCCAAGTCAGGTGGATCACTTGAGGTCAGGAGTTTGAGACCACCATGGCAATACACCAAAATCCGGTCTCTACAAAAAATACAAAAGGGACTGAAGGCAGAGGGGTGGAGGGAAGAGCCTGAGGCCTGAGGTCAGTAAGAAGTGCCTTGAAGAGCCAGCAGAGGAGGATGAGAAAGAGCAGCCAGCGAGGGCAGGAGGAGAAGCTGAGGGAGGGGTCCCAGGAGCCAAGGGAAGAACAGGTGTCTGGGAAGGGAGGGATCAACAGTATAAAACGCTGCTGCTTGGTCAGATACAAAGGACTGGGAAGTGACCACTGGATTTGGAAAGACAAAAGACACTACAGTTCCATAACAATAGCAGTGGTGGAGTATATATGGGGGTGGGGGTGGGGTGGGGGAGGGAAAGCAAAAGCGTGACTGTTGTGGGTTGGAGATAAATCGGGAAGGGAAGAGGTGGAGAGAGCGAGTATAGACAAATAAGACACATCTTTTACCGCCTTCTGCTATAAAAAGGAACAGAGAAACAGGGCAGGATCTAAAGAGGAATCTGGGGTCATGGATTTTTTTTTAAGATGGGAAATATTACATCATCTTTGTATGTGGCCAAGAATGAGCCAGTCAAGAGAGAAAGATCAATAATGCAGGAGTGAGGGGTTAACGGTGGGTGTGATGTCCATGACTAGGAGAGAGGAGATGAAGATTAAGTGGAGGGGCTGGCCTTAAGCAGGGCATAAACAATTCACCCACTCTAACAGTCCTCTTGGTGGCTGCTCCCTGCTTCTCAGGTATGATAAGGAACCACACAAAAATTTGTCTCACTGCTGGG